ATTCAAATTGATTCTTCCATGTTAAATAATACCTCTGTCTTAAAATGTTAGTCATTCATTCAGAAGCAGTAGATTCTAATTATTCTTTTCAATAACATCAATTTGCTCTCATTGATTGCTCATGGAAAATTTAATACTTCTATCACAATCATTCAAATCTTATCGTTAGTATTAATATAAGCATTGAAAAGTAAACGCTAAAAACGTTTCATGCACTACATGAATAGTATGGCAATTATACGCGCGATGTAATTACATGATCACATCATTCATTATCAGTAAAACCATCAGGAAGCCTACATATTTCATTTCTGATACTACAATGATAATATCGGTAAAAATAACAACAACAATGATAACAATAATAATAGCACTAGTGAGAATTCGTGCTTACAAACTGACCTTAACCAACCTAACAGTTCTACGATCTCCGCGCAGTCCAAGCGGTAGACATTGAGCTTGAATTTCGGCCGTTATTGCTGCATCGGTATCTGCAGCCGCAATACAGCGTAGCAAAGCAACTGAGTGAGAACGTGCCTCACAGCTGCCCAATAATCCACAATATTTCCTATAGTGTTCAAACATAATCACAATATATATCACAATTCATGCCTTTCTTGTGATGAAATTTCTGGGGTTTGCTCAGTTACTTCGAATTGTATTGCTAGCTAACATCAGCTAAAGATATGAACTTCTACTATGAGAAATTAGAGCGTGCACATACTTGGCTGCCGTCGGTGTCGCAAAGTCTACTGCACTTGTTGATGTGATCCGTGGTGGCGTGCAATAGAGTGTTTGGTCGACCTCCCATGGAGTCACCATGATTTTCTGCGCTAATTCACGAATTCTACCTGTATTATGAATCAGTGAGCTTCAACAAACCAGACTTTCACCAAATTCACTTTGGTCACTTACCAAAACTACTGCTTAGTGCAATAGAATTGAATGGTGCAATCAAATGAAATACTGAAACTAAGTTGGAGTACTCTTCTCATCGTTGACAACTCACCGAATTGTCCTTTCAGCAGATGACGTCTTATCGTTTGAGTGCGTTTATTGTGCGGCCAATTCTCTTCAACACATAACTGAATACTAGCCAACAGTGCAGCCTCTTCTCTTGGACAAGGTAAACTGCCACTTATTATTTGATCTTGAAACTAAAACTCAGCACAACTTTGTTTCTCAGCGTTATCACATCATATCACTTCTTCAATATGTTTCTGTCTACAAAATGTTACAATAATTCAAATCATACTATATATATATATATATATATATATATATATATATATAT